CATTGCAGCGTTAGCATAATGATATTAGTGCCAGAAGGATAATCTGTTTGAAATATTTTATATTCATTATTATTATTATCATAGTAAAATTGATAGAGTAATTAATAGCAAATACCGCTGTTGACTATATCTTTCAAGTGAATTTGATTAGAAATTTTATATAGGGGTTTTGTAAAATTTTAACTTTAATCTTTCTTATTAAATATTCTTATTCTTATTTTTAATTATTAGCTAGTTCAATAATTTATTATTGTTATTAATTATTCACTATCTATAAAGTAACTAATTATCAATATTTAAATAGTGAATGGTTCAAAGAAATGCCAATAAAACACGTGACATTCAGGCATAACAGAATTATTTCTCACCCCTCCTATTGCAACGTTGATTACCTTAACTGCAAAAAGCTAATGGAAAACTTTGAACGAGGAGATGTTATAATCAGGCCAGGCAGCAAAGGCAACGATCACCTAACAGTTACTTGGAAGGTCTCAAACGGAGTTTTCTGGTACATTGATGTAAAAGAGGAAGGAAAAGCCAATGCGGTAAGTCTCGGAAAACGACTTTGGATCGAATCGGTGACCTCGACGAGATCATCGCCAGACACGTGACACCAATGGCAGGCTGCGTACGAGATGTAATGAGATTCAAATACTTCAAGGAACTCGCCGTTAACTTGTTGGACAATAAAGAGGTCATTGAGAAAGATCTTATGGAGGAACGAAAAAGCAACTCCTCAAGATTTCCATATTATTTTACAATTTCCAAACAATATACAGGAAAATTCATGTTTTCTTACTTTCCAAATAGAAGCGTCAAACACGAGTATGTGACAGTCACTCGCGACGGATTGAGATACAGAGGACAAATATTTAGCAACATCAACAATTTGGTTAATTGGTCTAAATTACATTTCAATGATGCTACAATTGCAAACCAGCTGTTAAATCCAGTGACTTCCCAAGCCCAATCAACCGGATCTACCGGATATAATACCCATTCTTCGGGATCAACCGGATATCATGCCAATCCTTCAAGATCTACCAAATATAACTCACACTAAATGAGTTCTACTGGACACAGTGCCCATTCAACTGCATACACTGGATTGGCCGACCGTTGTTATTGGAAACATGGCTTTTAATTAATGCTTTTTCTGAGATGGTTACTGTTAATGTAATGCTATATAATGTTAGCTAGTCATTTGATAACTATATATATATATATACATATATATATATATATATATATATATATATATATATATATATATATATATATATATATATATGTATATGTGTATGTTCTAATTTATGTATGTCTCATGTCTATATTTTATTCATATGTATATTTATTTGTTTATATGTTTAGAGATATTTTCATTTTTTGTGATCATTGCGTTTGCATTTAAGATTAATTAAAAATAAAAAAAATACATTCTGTACTTATTGCTTAGTGTCTTATTTTTGCGTTGTAGTCACGAGAAACGTCAAATTAAACAAAAAATACCAAAAAAATATTTCAAAATTAATAACATAGCGCAACTGTCAATTCAAAAAGCTCTATAAAAATGTGTGAATTCTAATAATAAACCGAATGAAGGCAACATTGGAAAATAATTTACAAAATTCTACGAGTGAAACACCACGAAATAGAAATGCTTTAATTTCCGCTCCTTAAAGTTTGTTGAGGCTTCCATTAGAAATAAATTAAAATAACAATATTAAGCGTACAAGCGTGTTTATAAGCACATATTAAAATACACAAACATATAAATTATACCTATGCAAATACACAGTGAAATATCAACACGAAATTCAGTCGCACACCTACACCGATACAATTACTAAGAAGAAATACTAGCAGATACAAAAATGTTAACTTGATAACAACAGATTTTTTAACAAAGAAATTGAAAAATAAGCTTAATAAACCAGAAAAAATACAAAATATATGTAGTTTAGTAGAATAAAATACAAGTAAAATGCAGAAACTACCATGAACATGCGTAAACGTAAACAAACATTTAGAAATAAACAGATAGAATAAGTTCATAAACAAAACACAAACGAACATAAACGCGTATAAACAACATCAACGGTATTGATGTAGCAAATTTGATGTAAGAGAAAAAATTTGATGTAAGAGGAAAAATGTTGCAATTAATTTTTCATAAAATGCTTCTCTCTGTAAGGATAAATTTGATGGCAATTGTTGTGTTGCAAAACAAAATTTTGTTCCATTCGAAGCGAATGTAGGCAAACATCATTACTAACAGCATCATCGTCATCGTTATCGTCATCATCATCGTCATCCTCATCATCATTTGCGGTCGCACTGAGCTGTGTTGTAATGCAAATGAGCAAATTTATCATAACTTTAGCCATTGTCAGCTAACAATTATCATCAACATCATTACCATTCTTACCATCATCATCATTATCAACATTATAATCATCGTCATCATCTTCGTCGTCGCCATCATCATCATCATCATCATCATTTTCTTTAAAAATGGACCTTAGAAGAACTCCATTGGCATTTGTTTTCTTTTTCAAACAAAGACAACAACATAAACAATATCAACAAAAACATCAACATTGACAACATCAATATTAACAATAACAACAACAACAACATCAACAATAACACTAATAACAATACCAACAACGACATCAACATAAAACAACAACAATGACATTAGCAATGACATTAACAACAAAAACGACAACGCAATGAGAGAAAAAAACAACAACAAAAAACAATACATGTCGGTGTTTAACGATGTTAAAATTTATATTCATGTTTTTGAAGTTGCTAATAGACATTTAATAGTTGTCCAAAAATATTTTATATTAGGTGGAATAAATAAAAAATAAAACATAATCGATAATTATGTGCGTATTAATTATTATGTAGTAAATTAATATAAGAAACTTAATTATTATACAAATTTATAAATAATTTCATTTTGGCTATTGTATGTTAATTATCGATCTTAATGTTTCTCAATGTCATTAACGTCATTAATATAGTCATTATTCTTATTACTATCATTATCTCTCTCTCTCTCTCTCTCTCTCTTTCTCTTTCTCTCTCTCTCACACACACACACCTGTATGTATAGTTACATCAGCGTTGTTAACAATACCCAAATTTTGTTTTATTGCCTGGCCAATAGCGACCGTTTTTGGAAGTTTTCCCGCCAATACCATCCTATTTTCTCTTATCGCTGCTACGCGAAGGCAACTGAAATTTCTTCCACACTAATACAATTGGTAGTTAATACAAATCACGACAAAAAACTTGTCTAGAGAAACTGTTTGAACCAGTCTGGATAAAATAAATTCTTAAAAACAAACATGTAAAAGAAGGCAAAAGTTAATTTTGAATCTCGAATAAATGTGTCAAATTATTGAAATTAAAATATTATTAAAAATATATATTCAACTGACGTTCTAAAATAATGGTACCGAGTATGGACCTCATGAGTTTTACAGCTTTTGTATCTATTGGGAATAGCGATACTTCGATATTAACAGCCGTTATATATATATATATATATATATATATATATATATATATATATATATATATACATCTATTTGAGTAAAACTTATAGTGCAGTGGTTAAGGTGTCTGGTTTTTCTGCTCCAGTTCGTGGGATCGAATGCAAGAAAACCCCTCCCTGTCACCTGCAATGTGAGTGATGTGAGGGGTATGCATGATATGGGGTGTGTATGATGTTGATATTTTTGAGGAATTTTTATGAAAAATTTCAACAAATTTATAAGTTTTGTTAAATACACTTATAAATCATTGTAAAAATCTGGATTTACTTATAGTTTAAGAAAGATTTAATAGGCGAATATGCGTGTATATACTTAATATAAATGAAACAAAGCAAGCAAAAAACATATTTCACCGTGAATAGTTTTAAAAACTAAAATTTATTTTTGAAAAATTTTTCTTTTATCATCATGAAAAAATAATTTTCTATTGTTTTGAAGATTTTCACCTTTTTTTAAAAACATTCTCATAGGTATGTATGCATACAGGCATGTATATGTATGTATGTATGAATGTATGTATGTATGTATGTGTATGTATGTATGTATGTATGTATGTATGTATGTATGTGTATGTATAAATTGTATATATGTATGTATGTATGTATGTATGTATGTATGTATGTATGTATGTATGTATGTGTATGTATAAATTGTATATATGTATGTATGTATGTATGTATGTATGTATGTATGTATGTATGTATGTATGTATGTATGTATGTATGTATGTATGTATGTATGTATGTATGTATGTATGTATGTATGTATGTATGTATCCTTTTATGTACAGTTTTTTTCAATGTATATTTTATCGCAGGGACGTCGAAAGCACATTAGCAGCTAAACAATGCTTGACGCATTGTGCACGTGGCTCCACTCATTTTCTTTTTCATTCATTTCTTCTTCTCCTCCTTCTTCATCGTCATCATCGTCATCATCTTCTTCTTCTTCATCATCATCATCGTCCTCATCATCACCATTTGTATCATCCTCATCAGCATCACTTTCCGTAATGAGTAAATGAGTGGATTTAGATTAATTAAATAACAAGAATCATAGTAACGCTAAGTACAACAACAATAACATCATCATCATCCAACAACAACACCATCATCAACAACAACAACACCTACTACAACATCATCAACAACAATATCATCATCATCTACACAACAACAACAGCAACATCATCGTCGACAACAACAGCAACAACAATTATAGAAACATCAACAACATCAATGGCGTCAACAAAATCTCATCAATTATATAACGCTACTTCAATAAATCAACAGTTGAGGCAATTTCTTTAATTAATGTCTCGAATGTAACTAACTACACGTATTCAAATGCCAAGTGTTCGTGCGTTGTTGCCAACATTAACGTCATCGTTATCATCATCACGACAACAATCATCTCATCACAACAGCA